ATCAATAGGAAAATGATCACTGTTTCTTGGCAGTTTAAACTGAGAAAAAAAAACAGAATAGATTTTCATACTAATGCTGAAGTACAGAGCTTTAAGCCACAGGACTTGCAGTGATGTTTGTCAGGATGAATTAAATTTTTACCTGTAGAGAAACTGCCCAGTTTACAAATCAGGTCATCATAGAATCATAAAGGTTGGAAAAAGATTCCTAAGACCATCTAGTCCAAACATCAGCCCATCCCTTCCATGTGCACTAATCCAAGTCCCACAGTGCCACATCTACCCTCACCAGATCAAAGCATTACACTGACAAGTCAACCTGCCAGCTTCTTTCCAGTAAAGCTGAAATGGAAATATCCAAAACCAAATGGGTTTTAGTAAACCAAAGACCTACAGAGGTCTCTGATCATATAAAAGCTACTGTCAGTGTATAAATAGTCAATATTTACACCTGAGAGAAAGATAGGAAGAAGAACCTTCAGGCCTCTCTGAAACAAAGCACAGATATTTATAGAGGTTTCTATAAATAAGGTTGCAGAGTTCATTCTTAAAGCATCAGAGGCTGCTCATTGCTTCAGCACAAAAACTTAATGGATGCTTGCCAGTAACGTGGCCTCTAGTGGAAAACTGCTTCCACAAAATCAACATTTTATGCAAGAAAAAATTAATTTTGCCTAAAGCATTCAGGTTTCCTTTGGGAATATCAAAGCAAAATATTTTCTCCACTACACTTGACTTGACTGAAATCAAATGTTTCACTTTATTTTTTAACTGAACAAGAATATTTGATTTCAATTCAGTTCAATGTGAAACTGCCTCTGGGCTTGCTGCTACAGTGGATATAAATCATCCAGGAGAATAAGGGAATAAGATAATTTGCATCACCAGGTAGCTGGTTCACAAGAAAACATTTTTAATTCAACAATATTAAAATGCTACATTTTGTTAAAAAATACTGGGTACCTTTAGAAACCGAAGTTCTTCAGATCTTTTCCTCCTGTGGAAAAAAAAAAAAAAAAAAGTGATATGAAGAAACTGTTTAAATAGTCAACATTTCACAAGGGAGGTTTTTGGTTTTTTTTTTCCCATTGTGATTTCCAGCCCACAAGTCATTACACCAGTTTTGTGACACAGCAACTTCATTGAGCTGCACTGGAATCACATCAACATGGAAGTGATGTCAGGTGCAGTGATACTGGTCCCAGTGCACATCTCTAGGCAAAGATACACCTTAAAGTGCTGCAGTTTCTTACACTTACCTCCTTGTTGGGACTGTAAGTATGCAGAATGGCCTGGGGATCCTGCAAGAATAACATGCAGTGAGGAAAGAGGTTACACTATGTGTCACTAGGAATGGCATACATCCCTCCACGCCGCATGGATACATGAGCCAGTGAGGCTTTTAAAAGCAGCACATGAGGACACGGTGCTGGAGCCACAGAATTCAGTTTGCTGGGATCTTCACCCATGGACTGCAGAGATGAAGGATGCTGGTCCTGCATGATTTTTGGAAAGGAGGTGACAGCTGTTTCTACAACAGAATGGGTTGAGAAGATCAAGAGATCCAGACTGAGCTCAACCGTGGAGCATATATCACAAAGAATCAGAGCAACACCATTTAGTTATTTGTTGTGGTTTATAATAACTAGGCTCTGATTCACGTCTCTGGGCACCAGAACATGAACTGCTCCAGCAGCTCCAGTAAATGTAAACAGAGAAACCAAATAACTGCAAGTTCAACCATGACAAAAACTATTCATGTTCCCCCGGCCTGACTTCTAGATATCAGAGTGAATGATTAACCTCTGCAGTTTATACAGTTACTGATTACACAATCTACTCAAAACATCAAGGAAGGCAATAACAAACTCAGAGGCTTTGATACCTTGAATTATCCTGAGAACGATAAGTTTGAGTTATGTAAATGAGCTGATTTTATAAAAAAACTTGTCCTCTATCAGAAGACATTGCTGAAAAGCTACATTTTCAGGAAGCAGTAACACACACTACGCCAGTCATAAAAACCATGCTCAAGTGGGCAGTTTAATGGCCTACAGCATTTCGAAGCAGGGCTTGGGAGCAGAGGAGGGGTTCACATAAATGCAATACATTGGTGTCTTCTGGAAATTAAAAAGCAGTGTGTTCCAGTGCCTGCTTTGTTTCTGAAGAATGCTTTATGCCTAGCTGCAGACCACATTATCACCACTTCAAGCTAAGATTTCACTTAATTTACATAGGCTGTAGCAGACTGCAGCTGTCTTTGTTTTCAGTGCAGGCAAAAGCTGCCTGGGATTTCAGTTTTCCAGAGCTATTCACCTTTAGGAAAAACAATGGCCAACATTGGCTTTAGACACTGAAAATAATGCAGGAGTTGTATTTAACTGTTGCTTCAATGCAGAACACTCTCAGTTCTGCAAGGAGGTAGGAGCACATGGGAAAGCCCAGGGACCCTCCTTTCACCGAGTTCAGCATGGGGAGGTTGGATGCTTTGGGGTTGCTTGACACCTGTAGTGCCATTATGTGGAAGAAAAGCCATTTTCAGGTTTTCAGGGGTTTAGTAGTGTTAAATAAAGATATAGAGGTAAGGAACAGAATATACTTGCACCCAGTAGAATACCCTGCATACTTTGTTAGAAGACAGGATCATGAGCTTGTTTCTGGGCTATACAAAAGTGTTTTCTGGGCCCTCCATGCTTCACATGCAAGGATATTTCATCTGACTGTGCCTCAGGATCACATCTGACAAATGGGACAGAAGACTGTTCAGAAGACACTCAGACATTATGGTGATGTGTCTACAACAGACAAAAGGAGACGTTGCAATGCTTACCTGAATATCTTATGACTGTATCTGTACAGGTCTCCATCATGGCAACATCCAACTTGTTAACATGTACTGTGTACATTTCTGATGTCCAGAGTAGAGTTACATTCTAAAATGAGACTTTGGATCCAAGGAAGGTTTAAGTATCTGAGTGAGAGTTATACTACCATAGCAAAGGGGAGGTGAAGTTACTCAGCATGGAACAGGAAGGTGACAAATTCCTGCCTTTTTCTACACTTCAGGGATCTGCTTCAGGCCTATATGGAGCTGCAGATGTGAATCTAGGGTTCAAAAAACTTTTACACGCAGCCTACACACACTATTACACACAGCACATTCATGCAAGACACTGGAAGACCTTGTTCCAAATCTCCTTTCTAGTCTTGGAGTGAGACAGAAGTGCACAGACCTGTCTGGTACAACTGGGCTTTGCTGGTGTAACCAGCCTCTGACCCACAGTTTGGGTATTTGCCTGCCAGAAAATTATTTCCCATTGAAACTATTACACTAAGGAGTCATTTGAGCCTGGAGGAAGCCCTGTGAGAAAATAGCAGGACAACTGGTCTTCTCAGAGAGGACTTACACCTATCCTTAGGCGAAGGGGCTTGTGTCCCTCTTTGCAAGTACAGAATGATAGAATAGATTAATGAAATCATCAAGGTCGGAAAAGACTTCTAAGATCATCCAGTCCTACCATCAGCCCATCTCCACCATGAAATGAGTTTTCCACCATAGTCCCTCAGTGCCACATCTACTCATTTCTTGAATACCTCCAGGGATCGTGACTCCATCACCTCCCTAAACAGACTGTTCCAGTGCCTCACCACCCTTTCTAATAATTTATTTTCTAATATTTAATCTGCATAGAATCATAGAATCATTAAGGTTGGAAAAGATCTCTAAGACCACTAAGATCACTAAAGCCACTAAGTAGCCATGTTCAGCAACAGTGGAGCATATCTACAGCAGGTTTGCATTCTCACACCGAGGACATCTTTAAGGGGATAGCTGCTAAAATCTCTGGAGCAGAGATGCTGAATTCCCTTGTTGAATGTGGTAACCCAATTCAGTTATCATGCTAAAGGAGGGAGGGAAAGAGCTTATTTGGGATCTCACGTGTCACTGTTAGGGTTAAAATGTTTCGTGATAATTCAGTATTATCAGCCTTCTTTGCTAGCTTATGCTGTCTGCCAGTCTCCTGGGCTCATCTATGGGACTGGGAAACTTTAGTGTTGAGATGATTCATTTCTGACTTCCAAGTAGGTGCTGCTCTCTGGCTGCTCTGTCCTGCTCTGGTAGCTGCTGGTATGGGAGTAGATGGTTGCAAAACTGATCCAAAAATGACTTTACTGTGAGAGACTTTACAGTAAAAAATGCCTCATAGATATGGAGCATGTGCTTTGATAAGTCTTTGACCGCTGATGAGATCAGCACATAGCAGACGAGCTGTGGCAAGTCTCCACATACTTGCAGCCCCCTGGGATCTGCAGGAGAGTTAGGGATGCTGCATGCCAACCTGAGCTATGGAAGCACACACCCAACTCCTCTGCTTAGTTTTTGGCAAGAGTTAAGTCTTGGGGAATTTCTGAGGAGCATTTGTGCTATGTGGAAAATTTAAGAGTTGCTTAATTTCACTTACTTCATGTGGCAGAATGGACTGTGAGGGGCTGATTTGTTGGAGAACACAAATCCCCCCTCTGCTGTTTGCCACTTTGCCTTAGTGACCTGCTTCATCTGGGATGCTTCTTTGGGACAGGCTGCTGGGGTTTGCTGTAACATCCTCTCCTTACAAACGGGAGGGACGTCAGGCTGACTTCACATTTTTATAAATAGCCACTGCCAGTTTGATAAGCGTGCCAGCACAGACGTGCAGTTAAAACTGAAGGGGACTGATCATTATTTCTTCCTTGTAAGGCTTGCATAATTTCCCCTGCACATGGAAAAAGCTTTGCACTTATGTTTTTCACTACTATCTACCACGGCGAGCCTTAGATTTCATCTCTTTAAGCCTGCATCCAGTGAAACGCTGTAATTGCATGCAGCTGTGTTTGCAAGGCATCCTCTGCAAATGCAACGTGTGCAAAGTGTGTGAAAAAGACCCAAGCTCAGGACCTCCAAAATACGCCATGAAAAACTGCTGGTTTGCCAAAAAAAAAAAAAAAGAAAAAAAGAAAAAAAGAAAAAAAAGCCCCTGCTTGGACTGCCCTCCTCTGCCGTCGCTACCTTGCAGTTTGTGACATCCAAATAGTGGGAGGTCTGACAAACCGAACGAGGCAGTGAGCAAGAAATTCCATTCCTGTTGAAATCAGTAATTCCTCCTTGCTGGCTGCTTTTCCTCGTGTGCGTGCTTTCTTCTGTGTCACTGTGTGCGAAGGGCTTCGCTATTATTATTATTTTAAATATAGCTTGCCCCGGGGCGGGGGAATCGCACAAGGAAAGAGCCGGCGAGCAGCCTATCTCTCAGAAGAAAAGAGAGAGCCTCGCAGCGCAGGAGCTGGCTTCACTCGAGTGTGCAGTTTAGAAGTCAAAACAAAACAAAACAAAACAAGCAAACCAAAAGATTTATTCCAAATGCCACCGTTTTGGAGGAGGCTGAAGAAAAAGAACCCCAAACTGGCTAAATGCTGAAGGATGCAGTCAGACAGGGGCACAGAGCGAAGCCAAACGCAGTTTGAGCATGGGCTCTAAAGTGCAATGTAAGTCTCTCTTAAATTGTCTTGTTTTGTTTTGTTTTTAAATCGTAGTATCTGTTTTTTTCTTTTCCATTTTGGCTGGGCCAAAAGCTACAGTTAGTGACAAAAATCAGCGTGGGGCATAACTTGTAATCTGGAGCTGAAAATGATCCTGAAATGCAACAGAAGTCAGAGACTATCAGGCGTATTGTGGAAGATGCACTATAAATAAGAGCATATCTAATTACTTCAAGAGAAAGATGCTGGACAGAATCTTTAATCAACTTTCTTAACAGGGAAGCAAGAGCTCTGCTGTTTTGTATGGCAAGCTATTTTAATACTGCTGTGTTCAAAATTGTGTGATTACAGTTACCAATAGCAATAAGATGTAGCTCCAGAGGGGAGTCCTAGCGGCTGCAAAAGTTTTTTCTCTCTTATTTCTACAATATTTTTGCTCTCTCAAGCCTCGAGTCCACGGTCTCTACCCTCCAGTTTGGCTTCGCTTTTTACATGGGTTTTCAGTGCCAACTCTGGACTTCCTATGGAACAGAAAACAAAACATTTCGGCATTTGGAGTAATTCTGGTATGTTTTTCTACATCGTGCTAATGGTAAAAATGCAGTTGACAAAGGATTGGGCTCCACCAACTTCTGCCACGGACAGCTGAGAAATGCAAAGCCTGATGGTGACGAAGGGTGACCATTTCCTACTTTTCACCATTTATCTCACCAATTTCGGACTTAGCAATGGATACCCTTTGTGACGAGGAAAGCTCCGTGAACCCAACTGCAAACTCCTTAATGCAAATAAATCATGAGAGGAGACTCTACAGAAACGTTTATGGACCGGGAGAGACTAATGTGTCACATTTCTGTAACTTGACTGCAGACTCCGAAAACCTGACCAATCTTTCATGTGAAAGTCCACCGTGCTACTCTTCCCTCTTTCAGCTCTCAGAGAAAAACTGGCCAGCTCTGCTGACAGTGATAGTGATTGTTTTAACCATTGCTGGGAATATTCTTGTCATCATGGCTGTGTCACTGGAGAAAAAGCTGCAGAATGCCACTAACTATTTTCTCATGTCACTTGCAATAGCTGATATGCTGCTGGGTTTCCTTGTCATGCCCGTGTCAATGTTAACCATACTGTACGGTGAGTACGAGCTGTGGGATCTGCTGCATGTTGAGGGAAGCTTTAAACATTGCATGCACGTGTTGGCATTGTTCTTATTTCATTCTTATTGTAATCACTTCATGCAAGAAGTAATATATGTAAGTGGTTAATGGACGTAAGAACAGACTGATAGATATTTACTCCTTTGCTGATGGAATTGTCTCAAAATGTGCATGAAGATGCTTTGTTCTCCTTATTCTTTCATTATTTTCCCTGGCTTATAAATTTCAGTAATTCTGGTGAGAATAGAGGGTCCTGCCAGTTACTCTGCTTTGCAGAAATGTGTGGAAGGACTAATGACTGCCTTTAGAGTAAAAGCTGGCAACCCCTTTAATTTTTTTAATGAAGTAATTCAAACTTAAAAATTCCCTTAACACCAACATCTTACTTAGACCTCCACTTACAGAGACAGGCTGCAATAAATACTGTGGGAGTTCAAAACTGGATGGGAATTAATTCTGCCTAATTTTTACTAACATTTACAGAAGCAAAGCTAAATATTAGCTACAATTCTGTAAGATATTTAAGAATTAAGTGGATTATGACTCACTCAGACCCTTGTAGGTGATTAATATAGCAGACCTTTCTTCTCGTTTGTACTGAAATCATTTACAGCACAGCTTGCGTAGGAAAAAGCAGCAGCCTGTGTGTTCAGTGTCAATATTGTCAGGCTATTATCATCCCTAAACTTTGAGAAATGAGTTTTCCAGTGCCACAAGCAAGTGGCTATATTTGAAAGAGAAGCCAGACAATGCCAGGAGGAAAGCGAGGTTGTTTGCAAAGGTTTCTATAGCTGCATGGTTTTGGTAGGAGAGCTCTCTGAGTGTGAGGCTGTAACTTACAAGAGGTTTCATCCAGCACACTGGAAGTTTATTTCCCAGTTTCCACATTTCTGCATGGTGCTGACACCGGTGAGGGTATAAGGCTGTGATTCATTGCACTAATTGTGCAATCACTCTGGCAGCTGGAGAAGCAGCGTAAAGCTGCAGAAACCATCCATTGCGTAAGGTGAACAAAAACTCTTCCTGACACTGCCTGCTTCCCTGAGACAAGCAACAGGGACTCCTGCTGGCCAGGCTTTGCTGCCAAGGAAACCCCAAAGTGCCCAAACCCCTAACGGCTGGGAAATATCTGGGAGATGAGGACTGGCATTCCTGCAGGCAGCCCTGCAAACCCACAGGCAGCATCAGACAGGTAGCATCACGTGGTAATAGGATGCAAGAGAATGGCCTTGAGGCATGCCAGGGGGCTTAAAATGGATATTAGGAAGAATTTCTTCATGGAGTATGTGGTTGAGCATTGGAATGGGCTGCCCAGGGAAGTGGGAGTCCCCATTCCTGGATGTATTTAAGAGATGTGTGGATGTGGCACTGAAGGACGTCTAGTGATGGAAGGTAGCTCATGGTTGGACTGGATGATCTCTTCAAGTCTAAATGATTTTATGATTCTATGCCACCCATAGTGGTAATCCCCAGTCAGAATAATGGACCTTTGTAACAAGGGTCTTGCAATGAGGGTGCTCCTTCACTCACTCTTTGCAGGGAGATATTGACAATTTTGCTCAAAACAGATGATTTCTTTCCCTACACCTTATCACTATTGTGTGCAATTCCCATTGGGGTGCCTTGGCCAAATGTCCTGCATAACAGAAGCCAGGCAGGCTTTTCCATCCACCCAGCAGCTCCAGCCTCCCATTGAAAAGACATTCTGCAACACTTTCACAGCATCCAGGAAAGGTGAATGTGCCCACAGAGCAGAAAACATCCAGAGTTGAGCAGCACTTTTTCCCACTCAAACAGACTTGGTTCTGAACATCTCTTGGAGATTTTCCCCATGGCAGCATGGAGATGCTGTTGGGTTTATTGGCAGATGCTTCTTCCCTTTTGCAGCAGAAGGATCAGGTGCTTCAAAGGGCTTTTGAGCAGCCCAGCACTAACTCTGAGGCCTCAGCTGAGGTGCTTCTGACAAGGCAGGACAATACACAAGGCCTTCTCAGCAATCGTGCCTGCCTACAGACTCTCCTCTCCTCTTTCCTTAGCCCTTCTTCACTCAGTTTTCCCATATCTCTTGTTACCAGTCCTGGCCAGCTTCACTTCTCCACCTCCTCTCCTGAAAGGCCTTGGGAGAAAACACTTCTCTTCTTGATGATACCTAGGTACAACAGAAGAAAAATCTTGTCTCATTCCAGGTGTCATCTTCTCTCCCTTTCAGCCTTGCAAATTGACAATTCACAGATGTGCAAGCATTACTTGCCTCTTCTTCAGATGGGTCTCCCTCATGTGAGCTCCTGGACATCAAGAGCTCTCATGAGCCATGTTTTGTTTTACTTTGTTTTGTTTTGCTTTGTTTTCCCTAAAGGATAAATGGAAGGGTGAATTAGGCAATGGTGAGAGCACAGCACAAGACCAAGGTGCCCCATCTCACATGTCACTTGACATGTCGTAAGGTCAGCCTGGAGGAGGCTGCACCCTTCTTGACTTACACTGCATCTGCAGTTGGCTCCTCTCATCTGCCTTCACATTTCATGGCCATGTAGTCTCCTAGATGGTTTATCTGAACAATGCTGCCTATCTCTGCCCTATCCAGGTTTAGAGAAAGGACAGGAAGTCTAGAAGGGTGTGACAAATCTGTTCTGAAAGAGAACAGGTGCATGGTGTTGAGTGCAAAAGTAGTTTATGCCTTTTTCCTGTGCAAACTGTCCTGGACTGACAGAGAGGCTGAGAGGAAGACATGCTTCAGAAATCCAGCCCTCACTTAGTGCTCTCCAGAGACTGGCTTCCTCTTTGGAAGAGCAGGAAAAAGATAAAACTTATCCATAAATACCGTATGGCTTATTAGAGTCAGCCACATTACAGCCATCCAAGAGCATCAGGAAATAGGTCTGCACAGTGCTCAGAGAGAGTAAATGTAATTAGGCACAGATCTAACTCCTCTGCCTCTAATCCTTCTGTTGCAAACTTGGCTGTACTGTATTTCCAAATGAGCCAGGCACTCCCTGAAAAACTAATATCTTCTCACAACATCAGCTTTATCATTGTCCTATGCAACATGCTCTTGAGCAGTTTGGGTACCGTGCTAAATTAAATCACCAAATGACAAGGGAAGGTTAACTGCAAAACTTGCCCCAAGAAGACCTACTGGTGGTTCCCTGCAGGACTAGAAGGACCTTGGTATGATGGTCTTGCAGGGCTCTGCTTAGCCTATACCTGCTTAACAACTTGGATAGACTATGAGCTTGCACAATTTTCCAAAAGCCCAAGGTGGGAGAGGCTCCAAGCACTCAGAGGGACAGAATCAGAATCATCAACCTCAAAAGAGAAAGTCTAAAATGAACAAACGAAATTCAGTGAGGATAAATGCAAAGTTATCCACTTAGGAAGAGATATCAAACCAACACCTGCTGGGGAAATTAGTTCAGGCTTCAGAATATTGAAACAGATCTGACTGTCAAAATGAATCATAAGCTAAGTATGCATCTAAGTATGATGCTTTTATACAAAAGGCCCTCTTCATTCCAGGTTAGATAAGTAAGAGCATTCCCTGCAAGACCTACAAAGCAGACTCTAATTTCACTTAGCAGTCAGGAGGCCTCTCAGCAGCATGAAGAACAGGATCCAGCATTGGTAACTGCAGCAAGATAAATTAAATAGATTCTGGGGCAGAGAAACAAGAGGCATAAAAGTTCTGTAAACATCATCTGCAAGCAAAAGATAAAGGAACTGGCTTTGCTTATTCTGGAAGAGAAAAAGATAGACAAGACATGATAGCCATCTTCCAATAGCTTTCACAAAGGACAGTAATCAATTATTCTTCATTACCAGTGGAAAAAACAAGGAAAAAGAAAGGCTTAGTTTGTAGCAAAGAACATGTAGGATTGATACTGATAAACTCTAATGTATTATCTTTGGATTGCTGTCGCTGGAGGACCCTAACAATATTCACTGATGATATTAGAATATCGTCCTTATCTAAATATGTGGAAATAAGTTACCTAAAGGTAGGTATCATAAACATCACTGATACGCAATGAAATATATTTCCTTCTCCAGCTGCCACTAAATCTGAAGTTTCAGTTTCAGAATTTAGAAGACTTTGTAGATCAGCAGGTGTTAATAATAAAGTAATCACACTAATGAAAATTTCTAATGGGAAATTGAGAAATTCCACGCTTGCGGTGACAGAATTCTTTCTCCTCCCATAGATTCGCTGCCAGTAATTGTTGATTACAACACCAAGCATTATTCACATAGAAAAAAAAAATGCACACCCACACTGCAGCCTGGGAAAAATAAATAAATACCCCCAAAAAACAAACAGAGCCTTTGCAAGCAAATGAAAGAAAAGAAAAAAAAAAAGATTTCCTAAAAGAGAAATAGAGAAGCTGTCAGACAGCTCCCTTACTACCAGCTTTTCCTAGGAGTACATACGCAGTGAGAAAAATGCTTCACAACAAAAGATGTGACTACGTCACATTATAGCTGATGTCAACTTTCTCTTGCTCAGGATACACGTGGCCTCTGCCTAGGAAGCTCTGTGCCATTTGGATCTACTTGGACGTGCTTTTCTCCACTGCCTCCATCATGCACCTCTGTGCCATCTCATTGGATCGTTACATTGCCATTCGAAACCCCATCTACCACAGCCGGTTTAACTCAAGAACAAAGGCTTTTGCAAAAATAATCGCTGTTTGGACCATATCAGTTGGTAAGTGAGCAATATTTCAGCATGTAATTGCAGATTTCTAGCTTTTGAGATGGTGGGACAGATACACATCTCAGTCTAAAACTGTGTTCTCTGACTGCAATACTTTCCTTGCCACAGTCTAAGAAGTGCTGTAATGTAGTAATCAAGCAATACACAATCAACAGTGACAACACAAAATGGAGGTGAAGCTGAGCAGCACAGTTATAGAAGGAATACACATCAGCAATAAGACTGTTAGGTTCAGTTTTGTCTTAAAAATGTGTTTATTTCCCATATTGATTATCCACCATTACCATAACATCTGAAAAAAAAAATAAATGATATTGACTGAAAAGATTTTTCTGTAAGTCAATTGTTCCAACTTCTCATTAGGGTAATTTACTTAGAGATGTTTCACATGGTCAGATATTTTCTGGCTTTTCCTGATAGACAGGGTGAGGTTTGTACAATATCCCATTTAGGAGGCATTAGATGCTTTGCCTATACAATAGACAAGAAGTGTTTCCCAACGGAGAGCCCAGAGCTGCAGCCTTAAAGAGGTGCTCCAAATGATTCACCTGAAGAATCTCTCTTTGCATTGGTGTAACCCAGAGGCTTGAAACCAGACATAGCAGTGTCACGTGTTACTGTACATGGTAACAGCACCCTTGGTCCAGAGCTGTTTCATGATGTGGGAGATGGAAAGTGTTTGGTATCTGATGCTATCAGGGTTTTCTTCACATACCTTAAGCATTGGTTCCAAGCATGCTGAAAGCACCACTCCCTTTGGCTCATCCATTTTTTCAGAGCACCCCTTGCTTTGGCAGCTTACTTATTCATTCACTGACCTCACTGCAGCCTTCCAGTACCTAAAGGGAGCCTACAAACAGGAGGGGAGTCAACTCTTTGAAAGGGTAGACAACAGCAGGACAGGGGGGAAATGGTTTTAAGTTGAGGAAGGGAAAATTTAGGTTGGATGTCAGGGGGAAGTTCTTTACTATGAGAATGGTGAGGTGCTGGAACAGGCTGCCCAGAGAGGTTGCAGATGCCTTGTCTCTGGAGGTGTTCAAGACCAGGTTAGATGGGGTCCTGGGCAGCCTGGTCTAGTATTAGATATGGAAGTTTGTGGCCCTGCCTGCAGTAGGGGGGTTGGAGCTTGATGGTCCTTGAAGTTCCTGGCATCCCTCTCTCAGCCCAGTCTGCACTCCAGCATATTTGTGGCTTAGAATAGCTGAATCTTCTGCAAAACATCAAGTGATAGTGGTAGCTCTCTCTCATCAGAGGGGCAGTTGTGCACTCTCCAATGTACCTCAGACCTTGCAAGGTGCAACAGCATCACATGGAGCTCACAGTGTGTCCAGCTGACCAGATGTCTAGCAAAGGGCATGTGAGCTCCAACCTAAAAACAGCTAGCTCTCTATAAACTATACAAAAAGCCTAGGCCCACTCATTTTGGTGCAGATGTCTCCCTTTAGATGATATGAATCAGACCTTATATCTCTATAGCCATAGAATCATAGAATCACAGAACTGCATACACCATAGTCCCTTTGCTTATTGATCCAGTAGAAAACACGTTATTTTGCCTTTTTATTTTTTTTCCCAGTCTCAGGCACTGCTAAGTGTAAGCATTTTCTCTGCATGACATAAAAAAGTAAAGTATTCATTAAATTTGTCTGTACTGTATTTGTCGGTATTAGTGTGTGATGCTGGCGCTAACAAAGTCATAGAAAGATCAGAATGAGCAAATCAAGGGTCTGTGCACCTCAGCAGCTTTCTGTAGACAGTGACTTGCTAGCAGAGCTTCCGAATAAGATCACTATTCAAATGAATTTAGAAAAAGAAAACCCTATTATTTAAGCCCTTTTGGTTAGAATATGGTTTATGTCCTACAGTAGGAGGAGTTTGCTCTTTGATATCTTGAGCCACAGATTTCATTTGTTATCACTGTGGCAAGCGATAGAACACGGACCCTATTTAAATCTGAAAAATACAACTCCTTGCTTTACTGGAAGGCACACAAGTGTGGCATGAGTGAAGATGACATCCACTTTTCTGCAGATGGATAAGGACATATGTAAGGCAGCGGTGGATGTTCGAAAGATAGTTGGGCTAATAGGATAAGCTCCATTTCGTTCACAAATAGCACATCATCAATAGAACATGTAGGCTAAATAGATACCAATGAAATCAAAAAAGGACCCTGAGGTGTGCATGAATATAGCAGTGCTCAGCTGCTGTTAGTGCCATGGAAGCAAAGGGCATGAGGAGGTGAGCTGAAGGAAGATAGTGTCAGTTCCCTGCCTGGGAACTGGGTCAGGAATGATCTATGGAGAATGTGATGTGTTGTAAAACAAGCTATAAGGAGTTTCTGAGCTGCCCATTGCCAGTCTGGACTGAGTTTGCAGCATGGCATGTTGCTGTATTGAGTAAAAAAGGATAAACACTGAGGAAAATTGCTAGATCCCAGATCTTCCCTGCAACTTACTGTCAGTTGGTCACTGATCCTGTCTTTAGTCATCACAACATGACTCAGAATAGATTGGAAATGATTTCTGAAGAATGAGGTCATTTACAGATCATTTACTAATAGAAAAGGGTTTCCAAACAGAGGTCTCTATGTATCATTTACCAATCTTCAGGCTCTCAGTGCTACTTAAGAGTGGCAGTGCTATAAATTATTTAACATCTTGCATGTTCACATAGGAACAGCTAGCACAAGCAGAGACAGTGCCAGGCACAGCACACTCTCCCAAGCTCACAGCGTGGCTGCAGTTTCAGTGACAAATTCAGAGGGACAGGAGTTTCTCAAGGTTTTGCCCTCCAGCCTCAGTTCAGATAACCTTTGGCTCCCCTTGCCTCTACAGTTTGCAGCTCAGCTGGTGCCCTGTGAACTAGCATGATGCATGAGATGGAGAGTAAGAAGGCAAAGAAAGAAAGGAAATGCCCCATGTTCCCCTGCACAGAGGCTCATTTTGCCTGGAGAAAGCGGGGGAACCTTTCAATCAAAGAGCTTAAATAGCTTGCTCACTGTCAACATTCTTGGTTAACACTCTTGCATAGCCCTCTCTAATAATTTCTTCACCAGGCTGAGTCCCAATCCATTTTGGCTCTTTTTGTGTGGAAGCATCCCATGTCCAGGTCATCTTTGTAATCCTCTCTGAATCTCTTCTAGCACTTCTAACACTGTCTTTGAGACAGGTGGCCAGACTGTAATATTCAAAGCATGAACGCATCACAAGTTCATCCAATATCACGTTTTCTGTCTTGTTCTCACTTCCCACCTTAATTAGTACTACCATGCTGCTATCCTTTAGGATTTAGGACACACTAAGCTGAACGATTCCAAAGTCTCTTTCCTGAATAATGTACATATGGGAAATATTTTCCTCCAACTAATGTACAACACTTTTCTTCCTGATGTTGCCTTGCTGCCTGTTGGGTGAGACTTATGAGGATCTTCTACCAGTTCCATCCAGCCAAGGGCTGCCAGTGTGTTTACTCCATTCCAGTATCCACACAGCTCACAGATGAGCTGACTGGCACTGACCAACACAGAGGGCTGCTGCATGCTAACTTCCATTGGCATCATGGTGGGAATAATTCACCAAATTCTATCACTTGTTTTCTGTGTTTCAACTCATCCTCTACCTGTGAGAAGATCCTTCTTCCTCTGTAGTCATAGCTTAATTTCCTTAGCAGCTTTTGATCAATGTTGCTGGAGCTTTCTGGAAATTCAGAAATGTTATACCAGCTGGGTCACTGTCATACACCTACTTGCTCCTACTTGCTGACTCCCGTGAATGATTCTGTCTGATCTGTGGGTCATGGCATTCTCTTTCTGCAGAAGTTCTCCTCATATTTCCCAATCTATCCATATCTCTTTCATTATGACTTCTAAGTTATGTAAGTAATGAAATTTCCGTTGACTAAATTTTTAATTTTCCCTTTATTTTCTAAAAGTGAATCTCACCCAAAGCCCAGTCGATCTGTGATCATCCTTCTGTTAGCTGTTAGCTTCGATGATGTGTGACATACTTAAAGAACGAACTGCATAAAAAAGGACAGGCAATTTGATTGACTTGACTTCTGAAATCTCGATTTTCTTAGTAAAAAAAAAAAAAATACTGTGCTAACATTTGTTTTTTGCATTAGTGGAAGAAGAGCATTTAGCCAGCAGCCTTTCTTTCACTAGACCATGTAATGCCACAGGCAATTGGTTTAAAATGGATTCTAATTACTGTAACAGATTCTAATCGTGTCTTTAATTCTTAAATCATCCAGTACCCAGGGTGGCTAGATAATTAGATTATTTGTAGCTGTTGAAGGCAAAAGCCCATTAAACCCTGAAAATTATTCCATTTGTTTTAAAGCACAGAGGTCATTAGTGAGAACAGGTGTAAAATGCCCAAGTGTTTTCTCTTCCTAGAAAAAAAAAATTATAGTGAAATGTATTCAACAACATTTAGCTGGAATCTCCAGAATTGCAGATAGAGCCTACAGTGAAAAAGACAGGTAATGAACCTTCCAGTCCTAGGTGAGCCAAGGAAATGTACTGCTATGCAAGAGGCCAAAATCAGCATCCCCTCCTTTAAAAATTCTTGACAGGGCCACAGGAAAGAGATCATGACTGTTAAGCCCTTATAGATCTCATTCCTCTGTCCTTATTTCTCTCTATCCTTCTGTTAATGATAAAGTCTGATGAAGCTCAAATCCTCTTAGTCTGAGTTTTCTCTTTACTTATAATTTCTCACTCAGCCTACACATCTGCTCACTGCCTTCAGGCAGTCTCTACTCTCCCCAGTCATCACAGCTTGGATTTATTCTGTGCTTCTCAGGCAGAAAAAAAAAAAACTATAAAGTGGAGTTGGACAAAGTTGGTGAAATAACCCTCATATATCCCCCTCTTAAAGTTTTCTGGTTTGTTCAAGTCTAGTTTGGGGATGGCTTGATATAGGAAAAGACCACTTGTTATTACATAGAACATACTCATCCCTCATAACATTTTCTTTGTTATATTT